CACTTCTTAATCATTTGGCTTTTAATTTGTAGCTACAGTTCCCTGTTAAGAACTTCTAATAACTGGGAGCTCTTAGTAGTATGACATTTTCATTTTCCATATGCTAAAATGATTACTACTCAAAGGCAATTAGGAACAATTAAAACCCAGAAGGTAACTGCCTTAGTCCCCGAGAACCAGCAAGAGGAGCAGACGCACCGTCCTTAAGCACAGATGAGGAATCAGAGGAAAGACAGCCTTCCGATCTCCACCAACCCAGGCATCCTCAAGAGGCACCTGAGGTCCCGCCTTGGAGTGTTACATCACAACTTCCTCTCCTGCTTCCCAGGCCTTACTAAGGCAACACTTTCACCACTGGACAATATTTTACTAGAGAGACTCCGAACCATAAGAAGCACTCGAGGCCACCAGCTTCCGTTCCCTTCCTTGTCTTTTTACAGCTGGCCTCACTGGGTGCTGGCCGAGGCTGGGGGCCGAGAGCAATCCCTTTATTCAGGAAGCCCACTTCACACACTATGGTGCACCCCAGGCTGGTGCGTATACATGCGTGTGGAAGCCAAAGGTCATCTTCACCTGTCATTCCTCAGTCACTCTGCACTGGCCTAGACTTACCAGTTAAACTAGGCTGCCTGCCCAGTGAGGGCCAGGAAACCTCCAGTCTCCACTTCCCCAGTGCTAGGGTTACAAGCATGTGCCTCCATACTCAGCTTTTTTAAGAAAAAATTTCACCACCAGAGTGAAAACGCATCCACTTTGGAAAAAAACCGCTATGAACATATCTAAAATGAGCAGGCTTAGAAAGCAAACGGTGCCTGTCACCCCAGCACTTGGCATCAGAACTTCACAGTCGTCCCCGGCTACATGCTGAGCTTTAGCAGCCTGGGATACATGAGACTTTACCTCCAAAGACAAATATCTAACTAAATAAATAAATACACTTTTAAAGGGTGGGGCTGGAGAGATGGTTCAGAGCTCATACTACTCCTGCAGACCCCAAGTTTGGTTCCCAGCACCCACACTGGGCAGTTCACAACTGCCTGTAACTCCAGCTCCAGGAGATCTGAGTTGCTTCTGCCCTCCATGGGTACCCACACACACATACACGCAAGTAAAATAGAATCAATCTTAAAAAAATTCTAAGACCAAAAAAAAAACTTTTTTTTTTTTTGGCGAAAGATACAGGAGACTTGTCAGACAGCAAAGGAGGCCACTGGTGGCAATGTCCACCACAGAAGAGAAACGACAAGGTCAAAGGTCATGTGGCTGGGGTTCAGAGAGAGGCATCCATTAGTCTCCAGGTTTACGGGAAAGGAGGTAGACATGGTGGGTACTTGGGGGTCACATGGAGTGATGGCCATCCGATCGGAATCACTGTTAACACAATTCAAATGCAAACTTAATGTGCTCAATGCTACTGGTTCTGAATACCTTTTGCAGAGCCTCTTCCGTTTTTTCGGGGTTTGTTTTAAGAGCTTGGGAGGCATCGTACATAGGGATGGGCATAAATCTCAACGTGTAGTTCCTGGAGAAAAGAGCAAACAGCATACATTTTAGAATAACTCTCTGCTACCTTCATTTAGCAGATTCTCTTTAGATCTAAAAAGACAGTTGTAACAGTAGCTTCAAAACCCTCCCACGTGGCCAGCTGTGGTGGTATGTAGCTGTTATCCTAGAACGGGGAAGTTTGAGGCAGGAGGATTGCTTCAACTTTGAGACCACACAGAAAGCTTCAGGCTAGCCCAGGCAACATAACAAGACCCTGCCTCACAAAACAAAGCACCTCTCTAAGTCACCAGCCATCAAAGGACCCTCGAATGCACTCTGGCCTTTAACAGCCACATATGTTGAACCTGAACAACCCCATTAATTACATTGTCCTACAAAACCAGACATGAAGCTGAGGGATAGTTCTGTCTTATTTTCCATTCTGAACTAACATGTAAGACAGAATTTTCACATTGAGACTAGAAAAATGGATGGAGAAAAAGCCTAGGAAAAAAGTCATTTATTGGCTGGTTTCATGGCGCTCAGCTATCCACAGATCCGAAGGTACCTGGCTCACCACAGCAACCACATGTGACAGCCAGACACAAATGGGTACGAACCAGAACAGAAACAAAATATGTGCTTACAAAGGAACCACAGAATAGTCTGTTCTGCACTGGGACCCTTTAGGTAAACATATCCAAGACAAGCGACCATCTCTAGATGCGGCCAAGGGAACAGTGTCCGACTTGGCCAAGCATCCCAGTTCCAGGGTACCTGTTCAACTTTCCTACGAGGTCAGCCCAAGTCCTGTAGGCCCAGAAACAAATGAAACCAAGTGTGAGGTACTGATCAGGTTGATCAGATACAAGAGTGCAGGGGACAGTCACAGACTGGCATGGTGCATTTAAACTAAGTGTGACCTGGAAGAGCTCCATCTTGGAGCTCAGTATATATTATCAGCTGATCCAGGGACCCAACGGGATCAATGGAGTCTATCTGGAAATGTTGGGTAGTGAGCACCCCTGTTCCTGGCTTCACTGAGACACCAGCCTGGGCTGGTGGTGCTCTATGGGATTGGGCCAGCAGCTGTGACTGTATGGAGATTACTTTCCTGTGGGGTGGGGGGAGTGACATTCCAGCAGACAACATGGTAGTTCTGTGGTCACCGACAGCCTGAGGGGACCGGGAGTGCTGGGAGTTGCCTCTCACTACAAAGAGACAAGACAGCCAGGCAGGGGCAGGAGGACTGCAATCACTGTATGATGTATGAGAGAGAGAGAGAGAGAGAGAGAGAGAGAGAGACAGAGAGACAGAGAGACAGAGACAGAGACAGAGACAGAGAGGAGGGACGGAGGGAAGGAG